AAGGTCTACTTACTTTCAAATGAGGGGATCCCAGTGTACTGCAGGGAGCCCAGAGGAGAGGTAGCTACCACCTTGAGATAGCAAAGAAGGTAGACCCAGCAGAGGCTTCCTGGGGGGAGGGGGGGGTTCTGCATGACCCAAGGCTTAGAGGAAAGAAGACAAAGAATGTATACAAGAGCAAGGCACCCTCACAAAACACCAGTTACTTGATATTGTTTGATGCTTTGCATGGCACACAAAGGAATTCAGCACTTTTCTAAAGGTAACAGAAAATTATTAATGAATTCAATCAGGAGAATAGAAAGATCTAACATGCATTCCAGAAGATTCTTGTGGTGGCCATAGAGGGAGAGTGAATTGAAGGCAAGTCAGTCCATGGCAGAAAGACCAAGGACGTGGTCCTCAGGGCTCAGAGGAGAGAGAGAGACCAGGGCTGGAGCAGTGAGTGCAGGGGAGAGGCCAATTCTGGTCTGCAGAATGGACAGGGGTGTGACTGAGAGAGAGAAAAATTCAGGACCACCCACTGATTTTTAGCACGGGTGACCAGTGAGCAGGTGGCTGTGCCATTTACTGAGACGGATTTGGGGGAGGAAGGCCTGAGAGGAGAGGTAGCATGTGTGGTCCCCGTACACAATTTCCTGCTAAGCCCCATATGGGTAAGACTCCCAGAGTGCAGGAGTCACATTCACTGCAGAGGCAGGCGGTCTGTGCCCAGCCCTCAGTGGATCCAGCATAAGAGACACACAGAAGAGCATGACACTGGCCAGGAAGACCAAAGGAGTGGGTGAGAGAAACCAAGTTGGGAGGGAGAAGAAATCCCATGCAAGCATCACAGAGTGCAAGGATTATGACATGAATTATGTTTTTTAAAAATACATCACTCAGAGATGAAGTATTTACAGTGGAAGCGTCATGTTTGGGAATTACTTATTAAAAAAAAGAAAAAGCCCAGCCATAACAACAAAGTGAAAGGCAGCAACAAAACTTGGCAAAATGTTGTAAATGTTTTATAAAGAATGTATGGGCATGTGCACGTGTGTGCTCTCCAAAGGAGTTTGAATGACATGTAGAATGAAAGGGGGAAAAAAAATCACGATACTCAACTAATAGGTCTTTCATAACCTAAACATGAAACAACTCAGTGAAGTAGGTGATGGTCTTCAAAGCTAGTGTGGGGAATGGTAAAATGGTCAGAAACTACTTTTTGTGGAAGATTCACCTTAAAAAGCCAGAACAGGTACACCAAATGGAGAGGGAACAGAGGACCAAAGGACCAAAGGTGGTGTTTAGGGGAACAGGATGTCTCAAGCATGAAGAAAAGAATCAACAGAGAAGGAAAGACCAAATCTGGGACAAACTGGCTGACAGATGCCCGTGTTCAGTATGGGACACACCTGGAACTCACACCCAGGGTCTCAGAAATCCCAATCCATGTTTTCATCCCTACATGTTAGTTCTGAACTTACATAAAGCCTAACCAAGGGATACTCTGATCCTGAAACAAGGGCTCAGAAATCTGAAACATCTGGTTCTGATACAGAACCAGATGGGTCACCTGCCCATCTCTGGAACACAGAGGATATCGTCTACACCCCTTACCTGGCGGGATCGCTGCCATGGTCCATGGGGTAATGGATGTCTCGGTGCTTTGGAAGGTGGTAACCCATCATGTAGAGATTATCGCCATTACTCACCTGCACACACAGCATCGAGGCAGGAGTAGAGGATGAGCATTCCCAATAGGCCTGGACCCCAGTGGTGTGTCCAGAAGTTATTGGTTGTGTCACTTTGAGTAACGTGCCCTTCTTAGACCTTCTACATTTTCACCCATAAACCATAATTAATAATGCCAACTTTGAAGGCTGCTGTGAGACTTGACATAGGATTGACAGTTCCCAGCACAGAGGCTGTCCTTGTAGACGTCAGCTCCCTGTGACTGGGTTCTGATTTTATCTCTCTGGACTGAACCAGATCTAGAGTGACAAGTCACTGTACAAAACTGTTCGACCCATGTCTTTCTCAACCCTGTTCTATCTCATGTTCAAGCTTCCCCTTCGTTAACCAACCACTGGATCACCCACCTCTGGCTTCTCTGCTTCCTCGAACTTGAAACACGGCAGGTCACAGTACTTAGAACAGATGCACATGACCTCCGAGGAGTGGAGGCTGAGGCACACTGCCTATCTCTTTGACACCTCACTTTGAGTTACGGTCTTCAAGGAATAACTGATGATATCGGTCCCTTTCCTCTCTCAAACTTGACAACTCAAAATATGTTCTAAAGGTACTGTGGGGTAGCTATCCAAATACTTTCCCTCACTGAAATTCACGTGTCACTTTTCTCGCCCACATCAAAGTCTTCCCGTAGATTACCCAAGTCCACGGAGGTTTGAGATCAGATGCAAATTTTAATTCTATGTAATCACCTCAATCATTTTATAAAATCATTTCAAAAGTTTCAGGCTGGTGCCACTGGGTCTCAGTGACACAGAAGCATTTGGTTGGTTTTATGAGATCCTCATCCTCTCTCCTCAAGTGGGCTGTGCCTCCTCCACCTACTCCTTGCAGCCTTCATCCATCTGACGTGGAACTCCTTGGATGCCTGCCTCCTTCCCCCGGTGAGAGAATGTCAGAGCAGGTTCCATTTCACTCATATTTCTCACCCAGCACCTAGGGCTTTGCGTTGCTGTGGCAGGCGCCCAAGATTCGTTGGAAGAATCTATAATGTCAAAAACTTCCTGTACAATTTCTACATTTTTAAAGAAGTCTAAAATCTTTTGATGAGACACATTCATCTGGTTCCAATTTGCCTCTCTGTGCAGGAACCTTGATCTTTATTTCCTTAAAAATGCACATGCCCATCCATCAAGCTTCTGCTTGACCTCTCCAGGGTCAGGGAGTTTATCAGGTTAAAGGGCAGATGGTCTTATGGTTACATGGCCTGACCCTCAGGTAATTCCGTATGTCGAGCCCAAGCCCATCTGTCCCTTCCACTGACTAGGCACAGCTCTGCAGTGCAAAATTTCCACAAGTTTCGACTTGCTATTTCTCTTGGTAGACATCTGAGATCTCACAACCACTCACCTGCGTTGTGTGAAGTTTTTCTTCTTTAAAAGACACCTCCTCTTTCGATTCCTGTTACCCTGTCCTGGACATATTCTGGTTCACCACTCTTTAATTTCCAGACAAAGAGAACGTGACATAAGGAGACACGGTGAAGCACCAGGTCAAGTGGGGATGACATTCCTTGTACCCTGAACCCTGCTCCTCTACTCACAAACCCAGAAACAGAAAAAGGCGAGATTTTTCTTGCCCTCTTAAAGTTGGGACTATTGGCCACCGAATTTGGGGCTTCCTTAGAAGCCTGTCAGGAGAGGGCTTGGAATGAGACACTCCATAGTACCTTCTTTGGTTGGAAAAAAAGAAAAAAAGAGTGTTCTCATTACAATCTTCACTTCACTCTTCCCATAAAGGAACCTGGAAAGGTGTGTGACATGATGGTCACATGCTGCAAGGTCCCCACAGTGCTTCCCCTGCCACGGACCCCAGCCATGGCCCTGCACATCCATGGGGAGAGACACCTCAAGAATCTGTCACACGGGCCCAGACCAGAGCATTTTACATTTTCTTTCAAAAATTCTGCTAATCTTTTGAATGAGAACTCACCTTTGAAAAGGTAAGGTTGAGAACATGAACAGCATAGGTTAGAAATGCACACCATTGTTTTCAAACAGCAAGACAGCAGGGGAAAGAAGGTGCTGTCATAAATAGCAGGATCTTTTTCAAGCGTGCGTGCGTGTGTGTGTGTGTGTGTGTGTGTGTGCACAGCATGGCCAAGCCCAGTGCCCACATTCAGCATGATATGTGGCAAATTACAGCCCAGCAAACGTTCAATGGCCACCTTCTGCCCAACTCCCAATGGCCAATGAGCCCCTAAACTCATGGCAGGGTGCCATGAGCTATTCAGCAACCAGCAGATAAACAAAAGGAAAGCCACCTTCTTGGAGAAAGGAGTATGGCTTCCTGTAGAAATCCCAGGCCTGGGGAAGGTGTGTCTATGTGGGTTTAAACCAATGAACTCACATGCCCATGTCATCTGGAAAGAGTTCCCCGAATCAAGGGAAACACAGAGATCTAGGCAGGGGATTTCTCCTTGATCACAGCACAGTGCCGTCCGCTTTTCAGTTAACGTCAGCTGCCTTCTCAAGTCACTGGTAATGCCAAGTCCTCATTTAGAATCAAGACCCTTCTCATAGAACCAGTTACCCAGCAGGCAGAGGTTCTCTGAAGTTTGAGCCATAAACCCCCTCTGACGAGGTCTGGTTCCACAGCCTACAAAGTCCTCAAATTGGTGCTCTTCCCCTAGAGTGCAGAGGGGCTGAACTCGGTGTGTGGTCCTTGCCCCCGCGGACAGATGCCAGCACCGGCCTGCGGCTCTGGGAAGTGCGGCCCTCTACTGTCTAAGCAAGAAGGCCATGTGCAAGTGCCCACACACCCCTTCTCCTTTCCACCAGCTGAGACATAGTTATACCCTCTACCTTTAAAACGCTTTTTATCTTTTTAAATTAAAATTCCATCAGTGCCTCTGAACCCAAGCCCTTGATACAATGATTTCATCTGACTCGGGGTTCCCTGCATGTCCATATCGTACATCCTGTGTGGCTCACACAGCAAGGGTAAGAATGGTGTGTGTACATGGGGCGGGAAAGAAGAGATAAGCAGGGGGAGAAACTGAGGTATTGTTGTCTTCAAAAACAAACAGTGTGTATGCCCTGGAGTCTACAAAAAAACCTTAAAAACTACTTTGGCCATCTTGACATAGTTTTAGATGAATGATCTTGTGAATCACACTAAAGCTCTCCTGCTCATATGAAGAGCGTTAACACTTTGCTTTGTGTTCTACCAAGAAAAATAGAAAACCACAGATCAAGACAAAGGATTTAGGCCACCTCCTGAAAGCAGGGGAAAAAGCTCTTACAAATCTCAAGAACTCCAAGATCTTTTTATTGATTTCAAATTCCAATAGAATGAATATGTTTTATCTAAATATTTTTATCACATAACTGAAACATTGATTTATTCTTTCAGAAATAGAGTTAAATACATCAATCTAGTTACAAATTCTAATATAAAGAGTACAAAATATAATGTTATAAATTGTATTTAAAAAAAAAAGAAATACAAATTCTATGGTCTTTTGCATTTTACTGCCTCAAAGTATCATTAGCAAAGTTGATGAAGAATGAACGTTCTCCATGGGTCCCCTCACACAGGTGTGCTGGGGCTCTGCAGTGCACTTACACCACCTCTCGAAGTCCTGGCCTGTGATTTTTCTTTTACTCAGTGAACAAAATGCTCTGCACTCAGAACTCACCAAAGTTAAAGCAGTAAAACAGCATATGCTACTTTGTCTGGAAAGTGGGAAAGTCAAACACATACAGTCCCTCTTGTTTGTACATCATCGATGTTTGGGGAGTCATCGTTTATTTTGCTTTAAAGCAGGACTATTGATAAAGTGAAATATGGCCACAAGCGTCCAAGAGGCGCAGTGTCCTTTGGGCACAGATTGACAGGTGCAGTTGCTGTCCACGATCCAGGGGACATGCATCCTGTGAGCCAGGAGTGCTCACTCTCTCGCTCTCTCTCATGCCTCTCTCTCCAGTGGGAAGACTGAGCAGCTCCCTGAGCCAGCGCCCTGGAAGGCATCAGAGAGACGGCACCGGTTACTGGCTGCATTCAACACTACATCCATCGGAAAGCAGTGCTAGATTACTAAATCTGTGCGTGTGTTGTGCCCTGACACGGACGCTTGTGCCCTGACATGGATGCTCCTATAAATGTACGTAGCCTGTGCCAGAGTCACCGAGTCTGAAGACGGCTCTTGACACCGTGGGCAAAATGAACAGCCCTTCACCTAACCCGGTGGCCGTGTGTAATTACTAACTAGAGTGATTTCCTGGAGCATGTTTTTATCAGGAAACCAGGGTCTTTCTTGGTTTCCAAAACAAGTAAGTATTGGAGGGACCTCTAAAAGCACTGAATACTTTTCAAAACTGGGAAGGCAAAATCCGCTTGCCTTGAAAATCTACTTGTGTTTTGACCAACAATGAAATGTCTCCGTCTGAGAGTGCCAAGAGACCTTCCAAAAGCAGGCAGGAAAGTGGCAAAACAGCTAAGTGTCTCCCAGAGAAGAGGCGTACCAGCCGATTTTTCAGAGAATGTAAATGTTCATTCTTCAAAATTAAGGAATATGAGTGAATAACCTGAAAGACTCCTATAAGCTCATTATTTACGTGTTACTTGACTTCGACAACAAGTAAGAGACTTGAGCGGGGAGGAGGAGAGGGCGAGGCGAGGAGGAGAGCCAGGCCAACAGAGCCGCGCCAGGAACAGCGAGAGCGCAGGCGGGGCGGGGAGATACACGGAGAAGCTGTAGTGTAGACAACCAAACCCTTTATTGTCTAAGTTACATTAGACGCCAACACTGTAAAAATCCTGTTAAGAAACAAGGAAACAGCAGATCGGTAGAGGTAGTAGAAAGTCTGTAACAGTCAGAAGGTGACTTACAGGAGAGATCATGCGGAAATTACCATTCAAAAAAAAAAAAAGCGAATCAAAACATATTGGCTAAATAAATAAGAAAACACAAATCATATTAAATACTATGGTCAAACTGACATAAACGCATTAACAAACCAATACAATACTGATGACCAGTGGAAGAAAGAAACCACAGTCAGGCCCGAGAACGGCGTGTCTTGGAGGGTGGCATCCTCGGAGGGTCCTCCTCCGTCTGATTAGTTACGTGGAAACCTATTTCTGCACTCGGCACAGCACACACGGTTACGTAAAATGACTCGGCTGCACACTCCACCAGCGGGACCCCAGGCACGCACCCCTGTCTCCACCAGGCAGCTCCAACTGCCAGTGGGGCTCCCGGGTGCTGCTTCTGAAACAGTAAGAATGTACACGACACCTCCGTGTCACTTTGGGTACAGAATTGCTTTTAATAACTAGAACACAGAGAAACAGACAGGACTGAATCACTAACCCCTGTGCATTCCTGAACTGTCACTATTCACTTTCAGCCAAGAAAATGAAACGCAGAAATTATCACTTTGGGGAAACTATCAAAATGATCAAACATAAGTCAACAGAAAGGCGGCATTCTGATTTCTAAGGTGGACAGAGGAATGTGTCTCTGCAACTTTGCTCAAAATAACTTTACAGAAACAGTCAATTACAGCTGCTCGATAGAATCTGCACGGATATTCCTAATTACACCAACACAACAGATCATTCTGGTACATATCTGGTGTATAAGTATCAGGAAAAAAATAAGTAGAAACGTTTACATATACACACATACATATACATGTGCACATACATACGTGTGTATACATACGTATGTATAGAGAAGCTAGCCAATTACATTGCATTGTTTGCAAGTGTTGCAAAGTAACCTGAACCTCAAGTAATTTAAATTCAGTAACAAGTAGAATTCAGAATCAAACATTAACTAATAACAACATCAACAATAATAATATAATAATAATTCAACAAATCATTAGAACAGGAAAACCACACTTCAGGGTTTGTGTGTGTGTGTGTGTGTGTATGTGTGTGCGTGTGCACGCACGTGTTTAAACAAATCTTTGTATCAGAAGCCCATTTTCTACAAAAAACTGCACTAATCCATTACCGTATTAAGTAAACTGTCGCTCTCACCAGTATTAAAGGTTAGGATAATTTCTGTACATGTAAAATTATTGCTTTTTTGAAAAATATATTTAGCATGCTCATTTTAATCCATTTCCTGCCTTTACAAAATTTCACAATTAAAAAAAACCTAGTAAAGCTTTTGCAAAAAATTTCACAGAACATTTTCATTCAAGGCAGCAGTAACTTTTGATAATGCATAAAATCATATGTGCAAAAATCTGAAACTCTCAGAAATATTACCATCACACATAGTGTCACGGTAACAGGAAAAGAAAATATTTATATCTGTGGAATACAATTTTAACGGCGTACACTGCACGGTTTAAGATCCTTTGTTACGGGCCTTAACCCCCACCACAAAAACTTGCATTTGCGGGACTGAGGAAGAGGTATATAAAGCCGCCCCCACCCAGGGGCCTGGGGACCTCCACGCTCTGGGGATGATGAAGGTACTCATCCTGCAGGGGTCCCCAGGCCCGAGAAGAAAAGACACCTACTTGCTGGGCTGGTGGAGGGACAGATGGGGGTGAGGTGGGGAGGGCGGGTAGGCAGGGAGGGAGGGAGGGGGAGCAGAAGTTTCCAGAGCACCAGGGCTCCCAAACCTGCTCAGGGATTCTCCCGCGATCAGTAAAACGGGTCTGGACTAGGAGGGTTCAGTGGCTAGAGAATTTGTTAAGACGGGCAGTCTTCCTTGATGAGCAGTTTGTAGAATGTAGCCCTGTGACAAAAAGGTCCTGAGAATAAACAAAGAAGCCTGCTTTTCTTAGTGTTCAACTAGCTCTTTTCCAAAGCAGAACAGAAGCACTCCCAGAGCTGCGTCTCCTCTGCGGGCTCACTGAGAGCAAATGATGGGAAGGACGGGGCGGGGGGTGGGGTGGGCGGGCAGGGGTGCCCGCAGGAAATGCACACGGACCCCCGAGGGCTGCCGCACGGTGGGGCCCCGTCACGGCCCTGTGCCACCACCTTCTGCTCTCTTACGGACCACTCTACGTACCCCCTAGGACACAGAGAGGCCGTGGTGTTAACACCTGGCCGACCTCAGCTCCACCACCACTGTGTCCGGACATTACCCAACAGTCCTCCTGGGTGGCGGCGGCGGCTCCTGCTCAGGGCTTCCTCAGTGTCTTCTGCACACACACGAACCTCTCTCCAGTGTCTCAAACTTGTCTTGAACAGCACAGACGCCTGTGCCTGCCGACACCACTGTTTATGGTAAGAAAGCACGGGGCCATGGTCGATGAGCACATATATGCATAGAGAATATCTACGGGTGACTCTAGAGTAGACACACCATCTTCGTTTATTCTGAAATGTTTAACAAGGAGGAGAAGCATTTCCCTTCGGTCTCTACTCCGGCTCAGCGGCTCCAGGATTCAAGGTGTCCGGGCGGGAGTCCTGCGGCTGATCTTCCACCACCAAGGTGGTCAGGGTCGCTGTGGGGACATCCGCAAGGGGGCTGCTGACGGCTATCAGGGGCACCGGGGTACGCTGGAAACGTGTCTTCAGGTTCCCTTCCTGAGAGGCACTGTCGGGACGGGATCTGCGTTAGAACGGTCTCTCCCCTGGAAGAGAGAAAGCACACAACAGAAAAGCTCATTTCTGCCTCTTGGCATCTAAGTGCATTTTTCCTATCGATTCCCGTATCAACACCCCAGAACGCTGACCATGACCTTCACACGGCAACCCCGCCAGGTCGGCCAACACCCCTGGTTTTAGCGGCAGCTCATTTTGCTCAAGCATGATGATTTTAAATGTGCCTTCCTGGCCTACAGAGACAGCTTTGCACAATCATTTCCAGGGATTCAGAGAGGATCATCAAACCTGTGTTTTGCATCCAGGAATGGCACATAATACCATCTGAACCAGCTCCAGAGGTTAAAAGGTGGCAAGACAGAACCAGGGGAGGTGAGGGGCGGGGAGATGCCCCCAAAAGCAGAATTCTGTAGTCCACAGCACATGTACAGGTGAACAACAGTGCCAAACAGGGCCATATTCAGAGGCTGTACGAACATGGTAAGAGACGTACAGCTCTCACGGGGGCCTGTGAGAAGCCACGGTGCTCCCGCTAATTTCCATAAAAAATCACCACGGCGGAAACACAGAAGGAGTGTTCTCAAGTGCACTGCGAGGTAAAAATGGGACGATAAACGTGAGCCTGCCGCCTTTAGAGAAGGCTCTCCAACGACATCGGAAGCATCGCTATTTGAACAATGGGTTTTACAATCCGAGGACAAAAACAACAGAGCAAGATTAATCTCACTCAACCGCATTAACCTTCGGCTAAAGTCTCGATGAAGTGAAACCAACCGCCGGAAATGAACATGCATCCCTAAACCAGAGCACTCCCTGGGTTCTAACTGGTTTCCAGCAATGCCTCCAGGAACCCTGGGAAGCCATGTGTGCGGGGCGGGGTTGGAGCGGGGCGTCTGGGTGACATAATGAATTAAGTGCTTCTCTTCGGTTACTAACTTCCGAAAGCTCCCACTTAAAACAAGCCCTACATTGCTGACATCCAGCAGTCAACACCAAAGGACATCTGGTAAGAGACCCAACGAAAATTTTTCCGGGGTTCAGGGGGTGGGTGTGGTGGCACGGACAGAGGCGTATGTGACATACGCACAGGAACTCAGCGTCCTCAAGTAGAAGGTGAATTTCCTGCAGGAAAGCTGAAAATGAGGTTTCGTGTTTTTGCACGGTGACATCCCATCACAGAGAGATCGTCAACCAGGCACTTTGAGAACTGCGTCTAGATACCTTCAAGGAAGAGAGGTGGCCTTCGTGTTTGCCAGGAGAGAAATGGGAGCTACTGTTAGTCATTGAAGTCTCTACAAAGTTAACTGTGTGTAGCAAACAGACTTGCTGGCGATCCCCAGCAGTGTGCATCCCATACAAGAGGGACTGCGCACCCCCCCCCCCAAAAGCTGCCTGGACTTCTCTTCCGTGGGACCACCGTACACACTCCTGCACGAGGCCAATGAAAACACGCCCTTAGAGCAGTAACAGGGGGAGGAGCCCACCTCCATAAAGGACAGAAGTTTTAAATTGCAAAGGTCAGAAAGTTTTTTTTAAAAAATGTTTATTTTCGAAGGACTGTGTAATCTGGAAAACCCTAATAACTGGGTTGTTAAAGTCAGCCCATAAATCTAGACACAGAGAGGTCTATTTTTTGCTTTAAAACTGAAGGGATGTGTTCAAATAGCATCTCATTTTTCTTTTTTTAAGGAAGTCATTTTCACTTACTGATTCACTGGGACCAACAGTGTATTATTACTCCATACATCTGTCCTACAGGCCTTTTAGGAAATGAAAGAAATTCATCCAAGAAATCAGGCAAAGAAGAAATACAGCTACAGAAGAAAGGAGTTACAGAAATACTTAAATTAAGTGCACACATAGTATCTTGACACATGCAGGTTGCTTTCTCAGTCCTATGAGACAGGGTACTCAGAAAATGAGAAACATGTTTTTAGAAAATTTGACTTTCTTTTTTGCTGCCGTGTGAACTGTGGGCTTTTCAGCTAATGCGGAAGGAAACAAATATCTTTCTTTAATGCATTTCAATGTTCTAGGGATGGATACTGACTTCTGGAACTTTATGAGGCTTACTCTTTTCCTTTTCATCTTTAAAAGGTTAAGGGGATGCATATGTACTCATGCATTGGGGGTCGATGACATAAACATGAAAAAAGCCTGGACCCTCCCAGGATACACACGAAACCCCTCAGTCTTCACGCATCTGACACACGTATCACTTTAGACAAATCACTCATCACATCCACAACTTTTCATAGTTTGCTGAACTTAAGAGAAAAATGGATAAAGTGTTTTTAAGTGTTTGCTTGGTTTTATGATTACAAAAGCTGCTTAGACACGAGCTGGATTTCGAATTTGATCTCTGACGCCGAGAATGTGAAAGTGATGGGAAACCAGACCGTACGTGTATTCAGGTACAACTGCTACGTGCCTTCTCCATCATCTGCATTATAATACCCATGGCTAAACACGAGATAGATTAGCGTCCCATTTATTTTCTCATTTCCTCTTATTTTGATTAATGGGATTATTTCTCTGAGCTTAACTATTTTTAAATAATATTTAGAATAATAAGAAATAAACTATTAATAATAGCCTTGCCTTTAAATTTTGGCAAGGAATCCAAACAAACTGAAAACACCAGACTTCATTATTCCAGCAAAAGTCAGTCTGGTCTTTTAAATCCAAAAACCAGGGGGGATGGGGGATTTGCAGGGAGAGAGGGCTATTTTTCTTGGTGCTAAATATTTTAATTTCTAATGTTTAACAACATAACAGAAAAAGACAATTTCTTCACGATACACACCGGAAGAAGCCTCCTAGGTTTGTTCCCCTCACCCCCAACATCCATATGACATGATACCAATATTTCAGCCTATTATTTTCAAAACACGTTCTTCCTAATGATGAATATTGGCGATTACCAGAAATTAAACATTTACTCAGTCATGCTAAATCTATGAAAAAGCACCTTGAAAATGACAATATGTATGAAGCCCTTCTCTCATTTAGAAGTTTGCTCCAAATATTAGCACCCTCATGATCGGAATTCAATGTATATTACTAGAAGCACAAACACTGGGCCCTGTATTCCTGAGGTTAGGGACAATTAGCCCACAGCCAGGTCGTGCCCCACTCAGGAGGTTGGTTCCTCACCTCCAGCACCCCAGCACGGTACAGGAGGTGCCAGTGAATGCCTGGGGAGCAGGCACTGTGACCCTGAGCCTCCGTCTGGATGTCCTATTATTGAATCCACACCGCAACGTCTAGGGGCTCGGAGATCGTCTCTACTCCACCTACGGAGGAATGCCTGCTGACCAGGGTATGTAAAGGGGCACTGCTCCCGAAACCACATCAAAAGAACATTAATTCACATCTCAAAGTGTCCATTCATTCTGACCTAATGGAATCAGATCAATTCTGACACATGGACCCGGACCTCGTGCCTGACGGACTTTCACGCAGATACGCAGTATATGATGATTCGTCAGAATCAGCCAACACTGAACATCCTGCTGTAAGATGGCAGAGTAGGGCCGCTGGCCAGACGGCAGCAAGTGTACAGTGATGCCTGCCTACCCTGGGGAGCACAGGGCAGCCCCCTAGGGCCTGATGTCTGGGTGAGAACACTGTTCTCAAGCCATACCCCCGCCCTTCATGGAACAACTAGTCTGTAAAACAAAGCAAGACAGAAGAAGAGCCTTCGGAAGCATGCTGCCGGGTTCTGGCAAAGCCCAGAGACCCAGAGGAAGGGCAACGGCCCTGAATGTTGGTTTCTGAGCCCCGTTCGTGAGTCAGCATCCCGCCCACCGGCACCTGCACGGCAGCATGAACCCTATTCCCCTTGCCCACAAGCACGCGCCATGTAGACGCTGCACCAAGGCTCCTCTGGTCACGGAGGGCAGGGGCTGGGCCCGGAGTAACCGCGGCTGCCAGTGCTCAGCCGGTGCTTCCATGTTACTGGTCCAGAAAGGGTGCCGAGTGCTACCGTCGCTGTCACTGTCACAGTCACAGTCACTTTATGGATGCAGGAACTGCATGGAGTCACATGCCTGGGGTGGATGCTCAGATTTAGAGCTTCCCACTCAGGAACCCAAGATCTCAACAGTTTATATCAGTTTGTATCATCTAGGTCTCTGAACATGGAATTCATTCCTCGTGACAGTTTTGACGCTGGAAGACACACACATCGCCACCACCACCAGGATCCCCTCGTCCTCCTCCACTTCAAACCCACATATTCGCGTTCCTGTTGGACATTCTGAGATGGATCCCCAGGAGGCACCCCAACCCAGGCTCACATGCGCCCATGACCCGGGTTTCCTCCTGCGCCTCCTCCAAATTCCAGGCTAGGGGCCAGACTCCTCAGGCGAGCTGGTACCTGCAGCCAGAATCGGGGTCACCTCCACCCCTTTCCCTTCCTTCCCCCACATCTCAGCTCCTGTGCCCAAACACCTGCATGCCCAGTTCCACCCTAACTTGGGCCCCCGTGTCCCATGCAGACGACCCCATGCATCACCAAAGTGGTGCTCAGCCACCTGTGTGGATGCCATAACCCATCTGAACCCTGACACCCCCTCTAAGGACACAACACTGATCATGCTACCCCCCGGCTCAGGGTTCTCCACTGCCCTTAAGAAGCTTCCATCCTCCAGCACCGCTGAACTCAGTGCGGCTCTTCCAAGGGAATGTGCTGTTCCACCCTTGGGCAGGCTCCCAAGGGCAGCACCACCCTTGCCCCCACATGGTCTTCCAAATGCCCAAGTCCAGGTCCAGGACCCTCACCTGCACCATTGCTGCTGTGCTGCTTTGCCCTGTTTCCTTGTCTAAACCGCCCCCCAGCCCTGAACACACAACAGAGCAGGAAAAGTATTTGCCGTGTGTCCCCAATATTCTGGTTGTCTCCCTAGTATTACGGAGCCTGGCACGTGGTAGGTGCTCAATAAATATCGTTAATGGGTGAGTAAATGATTTTAAAACTGAATTTGCATCAATTATGAATATTTGTAAAAGTCCATTAACTTTAAGTGTAACATCAAATGATTTCTGCATGAATACAAGATGTTATATGATCACAAAAAAAAAAAAAAAGCCCGGGGCAGCCCAGGTGGCTCAGTGGTTTAGCGCCGCCTTCAGCCCAGGGCATGATCCTGGAGACCCAGGATCGAGTCCCATGTCAGGCTCCCTGCATGGAGCCGCTTCTCCCTCTGCCTGTGTCTCTGCCTCTCTTTCTCTCTGTGTCTCTCATGAATAAATAAATAAAATCTTAAAAAAAAAAAAAAGCCCACAATGCACAGCCTCTCAAGCTGTCAAGAAAGGAATCTGACTTACATATTCCATTATTTAATATTAGGAAAGCATGCCACACATGAGAAAGAACATGGCTGGTAAGTAGCATGAGTCCTGCTCTGGACAAATAACCACAGAATGGCTCCCTGGATCTGTGGTACCCTAAACCTAACACAGCAGCTGTGGGTTTTTTTTTTTTTTTAACATTGAGAACTACAGGATGAGGGAAATACCAAGATGTAAACCTCTACCTGTGACTGATATGGTTTCCTGTCGTCTCAACAGACACACCTCTTTGAGAAGTCTGAAGGTTTAAGCTAAAGAAATGGAATTTTCGTGGAGAATCAGAACATTCAATGATTCATCGGTAACAGTACTGTGGGACGCCTGGGGGGCTCAGCGGTTGAGCGTCTGCCTTTGGCTCAGGTCGTGAACTCGGGGTTCTGGGATTGAGTCCCGCATCGGGCTTCCCGCATCCCTCATCCCTACTAGCAGGGAGCCTGCTTCTCCCTCTGCCTCTGCCCTTCCCTCACTTGTGCACACTCTCTCTCAAATAAATAAATAAATAAATAAATAAATAAATAAATAAATAATAAATAGATGAATAAATAAAATCTTTATTTAAAAAAAAGGCAATCATAACAACGGACAAAAAGTACTAGCAGAGGTCACCATCTCAAATGTGGACAATCAGGACTGAAAAACCGTAACACACAACAGGGCATTGAATTGAGTTCATATGAAGAAAAGGCTTTTTAGCAACAAACAGGAATTCTAAAACTGCAATAAAACAAGAACAGAGGCCCCGATGCGGACACGGCCATTCCAAGGTCCACCTGTACCTGGGAGCGGCCCGGCCTTACTGGTTGCATCACTGCTAACCTTCCAGACCAGGAACGCTCTAGCGGTTCCCGGGGCACCTCCATCACCATCGCCATCCTCAACAGCCTAGCATCCCCCAGATGGTCACGTTTGTCGGGACAGGATGTGCGCGAGCTTGCTCTGACCCTGAGACAGGGCCTGGATGCCTGTCTGGCAGCACAGAAACACCTCTGCCCTGACAAGGGGGACCGTGTGTGGACTCGGAGGCCTGTTAGAAAGTGAGAAGGTCCGCAGAGGATGCAGGTAGCAGGAGAGGGCGCAGTGACATTCTGTGAGGGGACCAAGGCGGGGGGCTCGTAGCCCGGGACAACCTGTGAGGTGGCCACGAGGATATGTGCACCCAGTTCCTGAGGGGCACAAGCTGAGTCTTCCAGTAGCACGTGCCCAAGCACGGGCACGTCTTGCGGACGCCGAGCTGCAAGTGTACGGGGGTAACACGCACATCAGGGGTGTGTGCACACGGGTACTTGTGCACGGTGGCTGTGCTGGCGGGAAGCAGATCAAGGAGGGGATGTGGCCACGGCGCCCTGGCCGCTAGCAGGGCACTTCTCGTGAGAAATATAAAAGCGACACGCTGAAGGAAGAAGACGGCAGAGTGCTCTGGAATAAAGTGGCACAGAAACCTCGTGGGGAGAAAGGTAGGACCGTCTAGTGTGGCAAAGCCTCACCCCCCACAGGACCCAAGGTGGCTGTGAGGACCTGCTGTGTCCTTGTAACTCGTGGCCACAATGGCCAACAGTGTCTGGCGAGGGTCCAGGGTGGTCCCCAAGGGCCAGATTCGGCACCAAAGCAACGCACAGGTCTTCACGCTTGTGGTACAAGCCCGTCGGTGCCCCGGTGATGCGGGCCTCACACCACCTCTTCCCAGCTGCCACGAGAAACCCCAACAGCTGATGAATCGAAGACCTACTTGCCCGGGGCCCTCTGCGGAGGCGGCGTGGTCTCCAGCACCTCGGAGGTCCTGAGACTCACACGCCACCGTGGGCACCAGGGGCGCATTAGCAGGAGTGTCCCAGTGATGACGCGCCGCCATGGGAGGCGAGGCCATCAACAGAAAGCACGGGCAGCAGACACATACGGGCGCCTAGCCTGTGGCCGGAAGCACCCACTTCCTTGGACACTCAGTGTCAGTGACCGGGAGCCGGGGCGCACTCGCCCCAATGCAGACCTCGCCGTTGTGACGACATTGATCATCGGCGCCGGCACACGGGCCCTCCTCCTGCACTACTTACCACTTGGCCTCAGTCAGCTCACGTCACACGGGCTTCCGACCCCAAGCCCTCCAGCCCCCTCCTCCCGGGGTGGGGGTCCCAGGGTGCGTCTCTTGCCTGGGCAGTGACGGGCCAGCTCATGCGGACAGGCCAAGGGCTTGTGCCACCACCCCAGACCAGCACAAGGGGCCCAGGGACCCGGTGCCGTGACTGCCCACGCCAGCAGGCAGGGACCCTGAGCCGCATGTTGGGATGACAGGGCCACGGCGACTCCCGTGCTGCTGGGGGCAGCAGGTGTCATCAGCATAGTCACCACCCAGGACTCGACTCTCTGATTAAAGTGGGACATTTGCAAACAGGCTAATGTCCAATTAAAGCACAGGGCACCGAGATGCCAAGGGAAGACTGACTGGGGGGCCGGATGGGACAAGCGGGCGCGGGGTCGGGGAGATGGCCGCCCGCCTCGGGCCAGTGGCCGGGGACAGCACCATGGCAGCGGCGGCTCCGCCCCAGTGCCCTCCCGGGGTCCGCGGAGGCCCAGGCCCAGCGGCCGGCAGGTACCTGTGTGCGCCTGCGTGTGCGCCCTGAGGTGGCTGGGCTGGTGGAAGCGCTTCCCACACTCCACGCACACGAAGTCTCCTTGGCGGGCCTGCGTCCGGAGCATCCCTGGGCGGTGGTGGCCATGGGTGGTGCAGGAGGGGCGGCGGCAGGGGAGGGGGAGAGGAAAACACCATTAGTCTGTCTAACAGGGTGACGGGGGCGCCTGAGGGCCTGAGGCGTGGCCGGCGCAGCATGAGGCACCGCGGCCCATGGAGTGCGGGGCCTCCGTGGGGTGCGGGGCCTCAGGGCACCAGGACGCCCTCCCACCATGCACCGCCGGCCGTCAGGGTGGCGCCGCAGGGACAGCCATGTGCGGGCACGGGGAGGCGGCCTCCTGCTCACCTGTCTCCACCGCGCCGGCCCCCCGCACCGACCGCCCACCTGGCCCCTTACCTGGGTGCCTGCGCCCTCTGGGGCACAGACAGGAGCCCCGGGAATCGGGCCGGGTGTAAGCCCCTTCTGCGAGAACGGGGTGCACGTGGCCCTCCAGGTGTGCGCCTCGCCTGCCTCACGGCGACACTCTGAAGAAAGGCTCGCCTACGGGGGAGCTCCCCGGGGCTTCCCGCCAGCCCCCTTCTCACTCGACGGGAACACAAAAACCCCAACCGGGAAAAGTTCTGCCTTGAGCAACAGCTATGGAAACAAACGAAGCTCACTGCACCAAGCGCGTCTGTCCCTAACACCTGAGTGTCAAAAATGTGGAAGGCAAATGGAAAGGATGACAAATGATCTCTGTCAAATCAGCTGAAACCAAATTCTCACCCCAACTCAGAGCGCGTTGACAGCATCATACGAAATTGCTGTTAGGCCGCAGACATCAGAACGCAAACATGCAGGCGCTGTCAGGCCACCCGTGTGGGGTTTCTCACCGGGCGAGGCGTGGACACGGGCCTTGGAGACCCTGCAGAGTTTGCCCACAGTGTCCTCCACCTCCCACTGCCTCATTAGGGGACCAGAACACTTGAACCCGCACTCAACACAGTCACCAATGCAACAGCACAGGGACCACGGTACACAGGCCTCGCCGGCCCTCACACAGGGAAGCATCACTGGCCAGTATCCTTGGTGCCCGGGATGGCCGCCGTGTTTGACCCCAAGCACCACGGGGACCACAGGCCTGCATCCAGACATCCGCACACACCCGGTCCTGAGCACACCTTCCTGACGTGGAAGCTTCACCAACGGCACTCGAACGTCTTCTAGGACTAGCCCTCTCCTCGCTCGGCGTTTGATCCGCAAAGAGCTCAACTTCTAAGGCGATTCTGCTGCCCAACCCTACCCCTTAGCAGCATGACTGAGGTGCATCATCCTACGAGAACGTTCACCAGCCAATCCCTCCAGACCCGTGGATTCTTCTCCATCTTTGTCTTCACACGCTAAGTCATCACAGTACTTTCTTGGACATGACTCTTCAGCAGCCTATCTCCTACCCAGGCTGCAGCTCTTCTGCTTGGCTGACCACACTTCCCTGCATCAAGGATGCGTCGGTGTGTGCGCGCCTACACACGGCCCTACAGTGCACTTTGCCTTATCGTCACCCCTTTGCCCTTAGTGGTCAATAATACTGCGCTCAAGCTACTCCACAATTCTGAGCTCATCAAAAAGGTTATAAACTTCATCTGAATCGAAGACTGTCTGGTGAGCAACAGCTCTAACACTGTGACCCAGAAACTTGGGGTGTGTGAGAAAGGAGGATTAGCTCAACCTGCTTAGGCTGCCACACACGTGCCCATCTGCAAGGAGGAGGAGGAGCCTGGACACGCTGTGTTGGGACTCTGCCCAGAGCCAAACGAAGGACGCACAGACCTCCACCATCCTCACAGCAACATGTCCTTGGTAGAAGACTTTGAGCCCCAGTAACAGGGTCCTGAGGTCTTATTCTGTCTAGAATCATCTCCCTCTAGGGATGCCTGAGTGGCTCAGCAGTTGAGCATCTGCCTTCAGCCCAGGGTGTGATCCTGGAGTCCCAGGATTGAGTCCCACATCAGGCTCCCTGCATGGAGCCTGCTTCTCCCTCTGCCTGTGTCTGTGCCTGTCTCTGTGTCACTCATGAATAAATAAAATCTGTTTAAAAAAAAAATAAAAAGAATAACCTCGCTCTATTATCCTCAAGTTTTTGTTCTAAAATCCATATTATCATCCCACATTGGCTGAACACAAAGTATGAAACGCAGATTGTGTATCATTTTATTACTATCCCAACAAAAAACTTCTCCTACACTGATCGATGTTTGCGAACCTGACCTGAAGGCCATGCTGCGGAACGGTCACAGGAAAGCAGCGCGTCTCTGACTTCGATGGCTGTAGCCTGATTCCTCCCAGGACGCAACGATGGTCATTCCTTGGATCACCCTGCCTCTCCTGCCAGGCCCTCTGCACAAACATCACCCCGTCCACGGACAGGTGGGGTAAGGCCTCCGAGACGCATCGTCCCTGACTGCCCCGATGTCTCAGAGGCACCTCCCGACGGCAGTGCTTGCCATGCCAACAAGAGGCAGGCACTGAGAAATCAGAGTTGCACAGCCACTCACAAACTCTTCGCGGATACACGGACGATGGCTCTACTTGGAAGATTTTCTCCCGTGTGTGTCTGCCTCTCCCACTACACAGTGACACTGGACGTGTGCTCACCCGGAGGCCTCCACAAGGAGCTGGGACCTCTTCTGCAGATCGAGCATGCGGCAAATGCCTCAGACCACAGAATGAGTCGTATGGACAGACTTGTAGGGTCAGACAGGCCAACGAGATGGCTTTGAATAGAGATGCACTGAACTTTCTAGATTTGCGACGCACAAACCAATGGAACAGGCCCAGTCCACATGGAACAGGCCCACAGCTGCCAAGTGGGAGGCAAAAATCTTAAAAATCTGAGTCCCTGGCATATTCAGTAACGCGTCAATAGTGTGATTTGGGGAAGCCGTCCACACTTCCCAGGCTGCAGTAAGGGGAACAGAGCCTCCCCAACAGGAAACATTCTCTGTCCACCCCTCAGATTTCCTTCCCCTACAGCACTTTGAGAGCCACACATAAACATTCAAACAGGAGAAAGGCGCCGGCCAAGGCCCTAGAGGAGCCGCTACAGGTGGGACACCTGAGAAGGGGGCAGACCCACTAGGGTGATGGAGAGTCAGTAGGACTTCCTACAGGAGCGCCCAGGCCTGGCCCCAAAGTCGACACTGTAGCCCTGGGGGAGCCTCAGAAGGAAGGGCTGCACAGGGGAGCACCACTCCCTCCCCGGGGCATCCCATCAAGCTACACGGCCCCCCACTCAGACACCAGTCCAGACGAACCGATCTCCGTTCTTCCCTAAACCCGGGAAGCCACAGTTCTAAAAACACACTGATTAGTATATTACAGCCAAAAACTTCAGAACACTCCCCTTTAGAAACCCAAGGCAGCATGAACGTAAACACCCTCAACTGCTGACTCACACCTTGCTGTATTTCGGTGCGCCTGCTGGAAGAGGAGCAGGCGCACCTCTCCCTAGAGGAGCACACCTGCATTATGAACAACTTCGCATCTTTCACATTCAAAAGATGAATATGTAACCTCTCTTAAAACAAACAAACCCATAAAACCCTGTGAACCATTTATTTAAAAATGTTTAAGGAATGAGAAAGACATTTCAGGCTACCATGTACTTCAAATCTGTCATCTGAAACTCTCCAAACCTTACCTTTAAATTCACTTCCTTTTTCTTTTTTTTTTTATTTTAAATGTTTTTTTTAATTTTTATTTATTTATAATAGTCACACAGAGAGAGAGAGAGAGGCAGAGACACAGGCAGAGGGAGAAGCAGGCTCCATGCACCGGGAGCCCGATGTGGGATTCGATCCCGGGTCTCCAGGATCACGCCCTGGGCCAAAGGCAGGCACCAAACCGCTGCGCCACCCAGGGATCCCTTTTTTTTTTTTTTTTTTTTTTTGAGGAGGGAGCAACACAGACCCACAGGCAGCACAAAGGGCCTTTACAGAAGCAGGAATGCACTCACTGGGCGTCAACTGGCAGGTGCACATCTGCATGACATGTCACAAGTCTGGGCACTAAATGGAAGTCATCAACACTGCGGCGCGAGCCCGGAGCTCAGGGTGCTGGGGGCCGCGGTCACCAGGAAGGACCAGGAAGAGGGTCCAGTTGCCAGAAACACAGGTATTCTTGAAACTTGCCCACCTGCGGGTGCCTACATCGTCTCAGCTTTCAGATCCAAGAAAACCCAAGCCTAAAGGGATGAGGTTGCCATCAGGTCTGAAGTTCAATCGATACATTATCTCATTTCATAGCAAATAATCTGCATGATTGGAAAACACCCCCAGACTATGAAAAGCTCACTTAATTTAACTGAAATCTGAAAATGTGGAAACGCTAAGCCACATGGCAGCCCTGCCGTGCCACCTGCTAAGGGGCGCGTGCCTGGCTACGCCCGCGCACGAAGCCCCTCTGCCTGAAGGGACCACACTCTTAGACACAAGGGTGCTCACTGTGCCTACAAGCTCCTCAGCAAACACCATGTCTCAATGATCCCTGGGCCTCCAGGCCGTTAGCTTTGTTCCAGAAAGCTCACAGGAAGTGCTGGCTCTGAGCAACCAGGAACAGACACCAGCCTCGAACAAAGGCCCTGCGGGCAAACCTCTAAGGCTGAGGAACCTCCGAGTGTTCTCCTAGTTGATAAACACCTTGGTTTTCCTCTTGAGCCAGCGTCATGGCTAACGGAGCCAGGATGCACGTGGGGATCCGGGCAGGTTCCAAAGTCCCCTGAGAAAACCTGGAACTTTGTGAGAGACCTGCCTTTCTGTGCCAGGCACCCAGGCCACCCGTGCATCCCACACAGATTTGGGATACCTCACTGGTCACCCAGCTTCCACCAAACCCTGAGCCACATTCCCCAAAAGTCCTTCCAGCTTCCTGGAATTTGAGGCTCTCAGGCCATTTTTGATGGTGACCTATTTTAATGGCGGTGCCTGATGAGCTCATAGGGGTTTCTGCGGACCTGCTTTTCAGTTTTTAATAGCAAATCCTTAGATTTCCTAGTGCTCTGTTAAGTGAGAGGTCAGTACTTAGACACCGGCAGGAAAGGAAAAAGGCCACTAAATGTGTATCTTTTCTGGAATTTTAGCTCAGTTGTCCCCTAAACTTTGTATGGTACATTTGTACTGGAGGGCTTTGCTCCCTGATGCCAGTGAAGTGGACTGGCTCAGTCGGTGGAGCACATGACTCTTGATCTCAGGGTCATGAGTTTAAGCCCCATGTTGTGCACAGAGCTCACTTTAAAAATAAAAATAAAAATAAAACGACAAAGGGCGACAAGGCTGCCTGCTGCTGTCAACCTGCAGCATTTCCAAGTGAACATCACCAGGAGGGAAGCCCTACAGGGGCCGTCAGGTTAATGGTCACGGCACCAGGCATCTGCACCCTAGCAGGCAGAGCAGCAGGGGCAGGAGAGGGGTGCACGTGCTCCTTCCTCTCTGTCCTGTTTTAGATACCCACCAACAGGCAGCATCCCAACCTCCTAAGGAGGGGCTCGTCTATGAGGCCTGAGGACTGGATGAGGATCATGGTGACAGCGCTCCCGCAGGCAAGCAGGGAGGGGGCCCACTCGTCTTACCTCTGTGCTCTAGTGCAGGACCATTGGCACCCCAGCTCTGGTACAGAGAAGCAAAGTCCTTTGGAATGTACGTCTTAAAGATATTGAGGATGTCCAGGCGCTTCTCGTGGCCGTCAGACGTGGGCTCCTGCTTGCTGGCGTGCAGGGCGGGCAGGCCAGGCAAGGCTGCATTCCCCCTGGGGCCCGCCCCACCACTGGCCGGTGGCCGCAGCTCCTGGCCGGCCTTGGAGGGGGGCTCGCGGGGAGGTAGAGAGGGGCCCCCATCACCTTTCACGTGTGGCTGACCCTGAGGCTGAGGGCTGAATTTGGCTTTCAGGGGGTCCGGGGCGCTGTGCTTATTTGGGGGGCCGAGGCTGGCCCCCGCGGGAGGGATGATGTATTTGTCCCCCGGCCTCCCACCAGCCAGGGGCTGGCTGCCCGCCCGAGCAATAACAGAAGGTGTGGGGGTGGCACTCCGGCTGAAGCCGCTGCCCCCCATGGGCCCGGGTCTAGGGCTGGCCTCCTGCCTGGGCTTGGGCAGGGGCGGCTGCGTGGGGGCTCCATGCTGCTCGGGGCCATGGCCAGGCTTGGCCTGCCGGTGCCCCTCAGGGCTGGCCACCCAAAGTGCGCAGGGGCCCCCGGGGTGGCTCTCCTTGCTCTTAGGCATGCTAGCGGCTTTTGTGGTCACACCCAGCGGCGAGGAACTGCTTTTGGGCCCTGGCGCCCCTCCCGGCACCTGGGTGCGCGTGAACCGAGCGATGGGCAGAGGCTGGCACTCCTTGCCCCCCAGAGCAGGTGGGGGGCCCGTGCGTCCACTCCGGGCTAGGAAGACCAAGTTGTTTCTGATGCTTTTGTAACCATTGGGCTGAATCCACTGGGGGGCCATGGAGTTGCAGCTGACCCTGTGCCAGACACGCTTGTGCATCCACAGGACCTCGGGGTAGTAGGTCTTGTGACTGCAGTAAGGACACGGGTGAACAGCCAGCGCGGCTTGCAGCGACGAGGCCAGTTCCTTACGGCTGGGGTCATCCCGACTCGACCTCTCACTGAGGTCCAGCGGGATCAAGTCTGGGGCCGGCCCCTTTCTTCCACCGCCTGCATGTCCCTTCATGAGCAGGTCGGACAGCTTCTCCTTCAGGTGGTTGGCTGGGCTCTCAGACAAGAGCTGCAGATCGGCTCCTTCTGGAAAAGTCTGACCCAAATGCAAAGGGAAGTTTGCGGCATCCCTCGAAACGGAGACCTCCTGCTTCAGGTGAAACCCTGGCGTCTTCAAGTCCACAGAAAACCTGGGCTGCTCGGATCTCTTGGAAGCATCCCTGCTCCTGTTTTCAAGGGTGGACAATGACGATGCATTCCCAGCTCTGGGCTCACCAGTGTCTGTTTCCGGCGCGTTACTTCCAGGTGCATGGCTCTGGTCTCCATTGGAGAGCACAGTCGGTGCTACCTCTTCAGAAAAGCAGAAGCGGTGTGGCTTTCCCCCTGGAGGATCAAAATGTAAAACGTGAAGTTACCATTTCTTGTCAGAACAGAAGGAGACACAGAGCAGCACATCCAGAGGTCTTGTGGCCCCCGCACAGAGGGCGCACTGGTCCTCAGGGACACAATGTGGCCACTCCCCAAAGCACTGTCAAGAGCTGACCAGATTTAAGGGCAAAAGGATGGTATTTGGGGTGGGGCTTCTTTTTTTTTTTTTTTTCAGAAGATTAAGTAACTCAGCAGACTGTCAGGAAATATAAAATCTAGTTGCCTATAATGACACAGCTACTAGTTAACAGAGGCTAACTAGTTACCTCAGGAACCAAGAAACACCTGCTCTATAACAGCACAGGGCCCCCTCTGCCCCCACTGTGACATTCAGACAATTCCCTAAATGTAGTCATGGTTAGGGATCCCGTGGACTTAAGGCAAGAAAACCCAGAGAGGTTGATGTGCAGCCCGTGGTCACACAGAGGCTGGGCCCCAAAACAGCTTCTTCTGCCCAGGGGATCCCGTGGCTGCCTCAGGAGTTTCTGGGCTACAGGTTGACTATAGACAGATCCAGAAAGGGCCCCTGTGACTCCCTTAAAGTCCAAAACCATGATACCCGAAGTTTTCCTTCAGGTGCCTGAGCAGGAAGGCTAAGTGAAGCTACTCCTCCCCTCTCCTCCCAGAAGGGATGCCCAAGAGCAAGAGCGTGCCCAGGTCAGGGACCCTGAACTCTCTGTGCCTGCAGTTTCCACCTGCAGTGTTCGTGCAAGACACATAGCCTGGTGCACCTGGATGCCTTGCCACAAGGAGGCCCACCTCCTCCTCAACCAGGCTGCAGGTGGGCATCAGCACCAGGTGGAAGCAGGGCTCCATCCCCTTCACACCATCGTGCTGGACCCCACCACACCCCGAAGGGATTCAAGACGACATGAGAAAAACCCCATTTGACATTTGGGGTCTGATGACTTCGGGTGTTGTGAGGTCAATGCCTGGAAGGTGTGCATATGCTTCTGGACAGCTTAAAACTTTCCCAACTACAGAACACGAGTTCTTCATCATGGACACACCACTGGGCATATTTTATCTCCTTAGATAAAACCCTGTCACCTCTGGAATGGGTGGATTAAAATGTCAGGTGCCTACTTACAGCAAGACCCAATATTCATGGTATTTTTTTATTATTTTTTAAAGATTTTATTTATTTATTCATGAGAGACACAGAGAGAGAGAGGCAGAGACACAGACAGAAGGAGAAGCAGGCTCCATGCAGGGAGCCCGACGTGGGACTCCATCCCAGGACCCTGGGATCATACCCTGGGCTGAAGGCAGGCACTAAACCACTGAGCTCCCAGGTGCCCTTTGATGGTCCTGGTGTAAGAGCATTTAGAGACTTAAACATTTGCAGTAGAACATATGTATCTATTTACAAAAAAAAAAAAGGTTCTTTAAACGTTTTCTAAGTATATTTTTTTGGAGTTAAGACTCAGGAATCCCATCAAATTGGTTTTTTAAAAATGTATGCCGAAGGATCTTCATGGCAGCAGGAAGGCATCCTTCAGAGAACGCACTTTGACACAGGTCAGGATGAGCACAGTAACAAATGTGCAGTTTCAATGCAGAGGTAGTTAGCAAACCACCCTCAGCAATTTTAAAGGATTCTGTCCACGTAAAACATGAGCAGCAGGTAGTGATGAGCAGAGGGATGAGGAGATAAGACACAAGAGGGATGAGCACTCAGGCTCCGGTTGGCTCCGGGATGCTAACAGGTAAGCCGCTTCGGGAGTGCCCACCTGTCCTGAGGATCACACCCTGCTCCTCGGAAGGTGGCTGATGCTGCCCTGGGACTCTCCACTTAACCTGGAATTAAACCTATGGAAACCTCATGGCCTTCGCTCATTGTGACGGATGCTCACAATGTCAAAGTCACTTTTACATTTTCAAAGAGAGAAATGTCGGGGGCTGGGGCCCCTCATGTCTCCTGTTTTAAAAGAACACAGATTTATGAAAACACACACCAGAGACTCTGAGTCAAATTCCTGAGTTGAAAAGGAGGCCAGCGTAACCCAACACTGCACATCTGTGAGGGTTTCAGAGCACACCTGCCCAAGTCCCCACGTTTTATACTCCCAGAAAGGATTATATACATCACGACAGAACTTCCAGGGCCTCTGACCAAGACACTAAAACACGAGAAGCACGGGATACTACACGGGGTCCATGGAGCCACTGGTGGGGGTGGAGCAAAGCTGTTGTCACAGGAAACCAGTCGTGAGAAAAAGGAACCTGGTCCTTCCCAATGGCCTCTAACTCCTGGAGGGCAGTTCAGAACGGGGACGCCGATGATCTGACGTCCACGGAGGGAAGGTGGGCAGCTGAGCAACCAGGTGCTTTTTTGAACCAGGAGCCGTCTGTGGCTCTTCCCTGTCCCCCCTCAACCCCCACTGGACCTGGAGCCCTTTCCATCGTGAGGTTCCCTGGCTCCGGGTCTGATGAACCCCAGGTGACCACCGCAGCCTGGCACCCTGGCACGCCCCATGAACCAGCAGGGTCACTTGTGGCTGCCGGGCTTCGGTGCACCCACCACAGGCCCCTGCCCCCAGGTTCCTGAGTGCCATCTCTGACTTTGTTCACAAGGCCAAGTCACCCACGGGGTGGACCTCCCATGGGCCACACCTGCCCGGCCCATGGGGCACCCACACTTCCCCACCCACTGCTCCATGAGCCACACCTGTCTCGGGGCAGCCCACACCACGGACTTTCTTAGGCTTCAACGAAGGGCAGGACGCCCACAGTGTGGATTCCACATCCTGCCTATCAATGGCTGCGGGAAACCTCGACCACGAGGCTGAGAAAGACACCAGCTCCGAGCGGCACAGCCCTCAGCACCCCTGCAGGAAGCCAGAGTCAGCACATCCAGCTGCAGCGCACCATTCTTGTGCAGGGTGACCTGGTCCACACGGCCCCGGGAAACACGCCCCGGTCACCACCCACATCCACACACTGAGTGCCACATGGGTCACCGCCACCACACACACGTACATATGTGCACACGTGGGTGCGCACACATGAACACATGTGCATGTGTGGGAAAACATGCGCATGGGTGTACATGTGGTAACATGCACGTGTGTGCATACAGGCACACACAGTAACACATGTACGCCTGCACATGCACAGAGTCGTTTTTCCAGGGTCTGCTCTCACCTCAGCCTAGATGATAATGTGTGAACTTCACACGCCTTAAATTTCTTGGTTTCTTTCTAAACAGGCCCCTCCTGGGAATGGTTTGCAAAGTGCAGCACTGATTAGGTTTCTGCAGCCGTGACATGTACCTCACATCTGGAGATACCTGGTGCTCACTGTGCATGTGCACACACAGGTACTCACATGCACATGTGCGTAGATCCTTTGGAGATGCCCACCAGCCCTGGAAGTTTGATGAAGGTGGAGACTGTTGTTTGAAATCCCTGCAGCAACACCTGACACATGCACACACACGTGCACACACACAACTACCCCTGAAACAAGAGTAATCTTGTTTCCTTGGTGTAAGAAAGATTACTCCCTGTTGACTTTTTCTTTTTTGATTTATTTTTATTGCAGTGAAACGTGCGTAACAAAAAATCCTCCATTTAACCCTCCTCCACGTCCCCTCTCACCTCTGTGACTGACCTGGGTTTCACTGCATGGCCTGTTTTTGTTTTCACACCCGTGTTAAGGCACTTACTTCTGAGTGGCTGTAGCTGCCTCCTTTCTTTCCCCCTTAGGCACAGACCCACAGCACGGAGCCAGCGAGTGTGTCCTCACTGAGCCGACAGCAGCAGGGCCGCGGGGCCAGGTGGGTCCTCACCAGGGCAGGGGACACACAGGCCACCGCACACTCCCTGTCCGCCCGCGGGCTCCCCCTTCCCCTAAGAAAGACTCCCACGTGGGTTACCCGCCCTCCCCGAGCGAGCTGCACTTCTGAGCTGCCTGCTCAGAGGTGCTTTGCAGGGGATGCACCCACCTCCCCCCGCACTTGGCTGCATCACGGTCCTCGCTGATCTCTGTGACAGCTATGATGTCCATGACTCCATACACATCATGGCTTCTCTTGTTGCCCAGCCTCCCAGTGCTCAAGTCTGCAGGGCTGCCAGGAGACCCATGAGCAGCCACATCCACCATCTCTCATGCCGGGCTCCCTGCAGCAATGGAGCAGGACGTGGATGACGACACGGGCGACGGCCAGGGCCACATACAAAGTTGGCCTCACCATGCTTCCGGCTGACAAGGAAAATGAGGGGGGCTGCCTTCAGGTTAAGAAAGGGTAAAACTTCAAAGCTATTAAAATTACACAAGGAACAAAGTCTGAGCCCCATTGCTGAGATGCTTTAAAAAAAAAAAAAAAAAAGCTGGTGACACTGCCCTAGTTCTAAGGAGTCTTGGAAACAACTGTCTTTACCCAAACCCAAAACGGCTTTACAGGAACGGCCAACAAGGGCTCCTTTAACAACTGTACTACAGCCTCTCATAAGGACTTAATCTAGTTCTTTCCAGCCCTTGATCACTATGATTTCCTTTCTCAACAGATAAATGAGAAGTTTGACTTCTTCATATCTCCCACTGTGGGTCCCTACAAACGGATGCCATTGTCCACATGTAACATCTTATCTTCACAACCGAACACCTTTACGGCTGCTCACAGCCTTCCAGGAGCCCGAGCGCATCACCCATGGTCGTCCCGTGCCACAGGGCTCCCTCCCATCCCTTCTGGGCCGTGTGCCAGGAGCGGACTTATCCTCCATGAGGACACAGTCCCTGCCTACACGGCCTGGTTCCTGTGAGGGAAGCAGCACCTGCGCAGGTGCAGCTGTGCTCCCAGGTGGGCTACGCGGCAAGGAGCACACACCACAGGGCCTTCACCTCTGCGCCACGTGCTCAGCTCAGCCACATCTAAATAAACCCGTGTTTCCGCGGCCCTGCCCTGCGAGGACAGGCCACAGAGGCAGGCAGGCACATCAGGTCCTGCAGCA